CAATCGTCAGGCCATATATATATATATATATATATATATATATATATATATATAGATAGATAGATAGATATAGATATAGATATGTGTGTGTGTGTGTGCAGATATGTAGAAAAATAGGAAAGAACACGTTAGGTAAATAATCCGGAGTTCTTTAGTATTTTTGTTTTTATTTAAAAAAAAACAGTGCTCCATACAGAAGTAGAGCTTAAATTATAATTATTTTTAAAAAAATATTATTCCTTCGCTACATAAGAGTTCTCATGTTTCAAAAACGAGAGCCGAAACCCTCAATATAATTATTAAAATTAAATTGAGCTAAAGTATCAAGCCCTATTTCATCCTCAAGTTTTGAATATATATATATATATATATATATATATATATATATATGACGCGTTTCGACTTATTTTTAACTTTATCAAGGCAATGTAGGGGTTATAATGTTGCACGTGTTTATATCCACATAGACGATGACGTCATTGGTTTATCAAGGCTTTTATATTTGAGAATGTTTATGAATGTTCATCAGGTGGTTGAAATTTCAATTAAAATCTTATGTATGAATCTCCTTTTGTGTTTAAACAGATGCACTTGTCATACACTTGCAGTTCCTGCAATCTTCAGCTGCTCAGATTGTTCTGACCGTTTATAGAATTCGCGTTCTCCTGGTGATGATTAAAAAAATGGTGTGTTAAAAATTTTTATTTAATTATTGTTGTCTAAAATTTTAGAATTAATTATTTATAATTTATATCATTCAAATTCTCAAGTTCGAAAGGCGAAGGATTAAAAAAAATTATTTAAATTTAAGTTTTATATTTAGATCCAAAAGTAAACAACATATCAAGGGGGATAACTCATTTTTTTTTACATAATATACCATAGTTATACCAATTAAATTAAGTTAGTACGAAGGCTGTGTATATATAATAAAAAATGAGTCTAAATATAAAAATAATAGCTCAGGGGCTATATATATATATATATATATATATATATATGTATATATATGTATATTTGTGTATATATATATATATATATATATATATATATATATATATATAGATAGATAGATAGATGTGTATGTGCGTGTAAATATATATATATATATATATATATATATATAGAGAGAGAGAGATAGACACTGAATAAATTAAGTTAGATAGATAGATCAATATGAGCCCAGAAAGATAACTAGATGGATAGACAGGTAGATAGATAGATGTATATGTGTGTGTAAATATTTTCAGATAGAGTGAATCTGTAGAGGAGATAAAATGAATGAAAAGAGACAAGAGGACAAAACTATACTTAGCCGATATGTTTCGTCCTCTGAGGGACTTTATCAAGACAATGTAGGATTTATTATACAGCACGTGTTTATATACAAAAGCAAGGATGTCATTGGTTTGTGAAGGCCTTTTAAATTTGAGAACTTTTATCAATATTCATCAGGTGGTTGAAAATCAATCCAAATATGCGGATGATCTAAGGTGCCATAATTCAAAGCCTGGCAAAAAGTAATCGAGTAACATCCAAGAAAACCACGCTATATACTTCATTGGGGAAGTAGTATTTTTTTCAGAAAAGTTGAGATTGGCCAGAAAAAAATAAAAAAAAATCTTACCAAAACATAACTTTACGCCCAGGTTTTTCTCAATTTCAGCTTTCCTGAAAGAATTACTTCTTTTCCAAAACAACGTACACGGCCATAAATATGTTGAAAAAAATCAAAAGAAAATCGTTGAATCTACCACCTCATGTTTTTGAAGACGTACAGACGTCCATCTCATACCATAACAAGCTAATGACAAACAATATTTGAAATATGACACTTTGTGTCTTCCATATATTTTGACTGACCTTTTAACTACCTGATGAACAAATAAATAAAGTGATAGAAAGCAATTGACCTTTTCACTGCCTCAGGTAATCTTCATTGATGGAAATCGCTGTAGCGAAAAAGGTTGATGTTTGTAAGATTTTAGATCTTAACTAGCTCTAGACTACCGATTGCATTTAACTGTGTATTGAGAACTTAAAAAATGACTTCATATATATATATATATATATATATATATATATATATATATATGTTAAAGAAAAACAGACCACTTTAAAGTTCCCTTATAATAATTTATTTCACCAGAGCCCTTTTAAAGAACGCCGGATCATCAGATAGCACTTCCAAAAGATGAAAAGAAAATTTTTTTCGTTTCATATTTTTTACACACACACACACACACACACACACACACATATATATATATATATGATATGATATATATATATATATATATATATATATATGATAAAAATATATTTTAAGGTATGCTAAATTTATAGGTAAAAGTGTTCAATATCACTGGTAGAGCGTATGCAGTAATAAAAGTGGACATTCATCTTCAGTCTCTCTCTCTCTCTCTCTCTCTATATATATATATATATATATATATATATATATATATATATATATATAAAATTAAAAAAAAATTAAGTATGCTATATTTATATAGGATAAGTGCCCAATATCAGGGATAGAGTTTATCTAAATATAAAAGCGGACATTGAGGTCAACACCCAAAAGCGACAGTCTATTTCGCCCTTAAGCATGAAACAAACTGTCACCTCTGGGTGTTGTCTTCAATGTCCGTCTTTTATATTTTACTTACACTTACCCACACGCACGCACACACATATGTGTGTGTTTTTGTGTGTGTGTGTGTGTGATAGAAATATACTTTTAAGCTATGCTATATTTATGCGTAAAATTGCAGTGATGTAGAGTCATGGCATATATTAATTTTTTGTTTCACCCGGTGAATTTGAATTTAGCGTAGGTCACATTCAATTGGTTAATCACAGCAAAGTCCACAAGCCTATTTTTTTA